ACACTGTCAAAAGAGAGCAGCAGAGAAGAGCATGTGATTCCCGCCCTACGCCCCCAAGTGCCCCAGACTACACTTCTAGCAGCAGAGCACTACTTTTACGGTATCACTCTCAGTACAGATAAATACCGGTAAACACAGTACAGTAACCGCTATAGTACACTTGAAGAGCCGCAGTTGTGCAATTGAGCAGGTATCAAGAATTGGGTGGTCTGAATGAGCAGGTATGAAGGACCACAGCTTGGTGCGAAGGGTTTAGGTATGAATAAGCCATGGTTCATGCGCCTGTGATTCCGTAAGCGAAGCTGGCAGGTGGCACTAGATAGGTGGAGAATAAGAGAGCGGCACAGTGCGGTGGAGAGCTCGATAAGGAAGTGCAGTCAGGTCGCGGGGAGAAGGGAGCAAAAGAAAGTGCTGAGAAAAGGAGATGGATGGAGAGAGGAGAATTGGAGAGATGGGAAAGCGAGAGAGGGGAAAGAGAGAAGGGATACGGAAAGGAAGGGAGTGGCAGAGGGGAGCATGACAGAGGGGGGGCGTGGCAGAGGGGGAGCGTGGCAGCAGCTGTGGTGCTGCTCAGGAATGCGCGAGAGCGTTAGCAAGACCCTTGGCCTGCCAGACACATGGGGTTGGTGCAATGGAGGGAAGGAGGGATGGAGAGAGAGGGGAGAAAAGAGTTTTGAGGCATGTAAAGAGGCTTTGAAAGGTGCCAGAAAAATGTGGTTGGTGGGAGGGAGGCAGGGCTGGAGGGAGGGATGGAGGGAGAGGGGAGAAAATAATTTATAAGCAACACACATACCACACCACACCACACCATACCACACCACACCACACCACACCATACCACAGCAAACCACACCCTGCACCCCACTCTCCTCCCCTCCTCGCCCGCAACCCCCACCATACACACCTGCGATTTCAGCTCTTGGGGCAAGTCATCCCACACCCCATACAAACCCCCCCCACCACATCCCACAGCATGTACTGTACCCGTTTTTGAGTCGACTCAAAAACAGGACCACCACATAGCATGTACTGTACCCCAACCCTGCCAGCACACGCGTGCACGAGTGGGGCGTCTGAGACGAGTGAACCCCATCTCCCTGCTCCGGTTGCGGCAACACACCCCACCCCACAGCACACAGCACACAGCACACGGCAGCACTCCCCACACAAACCCCAGCACTCCACGTACCCGCGACTGCAGCCTCTGCGACGAGTCATCCCCGGCCATCTGCTCCAGGTGCCTCACACCTAGTGCCTTCCGCCCACTGAACCCTAGCGCCTCACACAAGGCACACAAACACCATGCACTCCCCCCATACACCCCCCCCCCCCCCCACGCACGACACATACCTTGGTTTGCAGCCGCTGCGACGAGTCATCCCCAGCCATCTCCTCCAGGTGCGATAGCAGCGTGCCTTCCGCGGCCACCACAGCAGCGCGGCACTCCTCATCGCCTTTAGTCGCCATGCGCAGCAACGCTGCCGCCGCCATTTCCCGCGCCAGAGACGACCCCTCCTCCCCCACCACCAGCCCCACCAGCACTCCTACTCCCCCCACTTCCCCCTGCGCTTCCCCCTGACCTTCCCCCTCCCCCTCCCCCGGCCCCTGCGCGCGGAATGTGTAGATCCGCCTGAGTCCGCTCCCCGTGCGTCCCAGCTGCGCCAGCAGCGCCGCCACCTCATCTAACACGTCCACGTCACCGCTCACAGCCAATCGCAGCGCGAGCTCCACTCCCCCCTCCTCCACCATCTCCTCCCGAACCTCCTCGTTCCCCGCGAGCCGCGCAAGCGCGCGCAGCGCGTCGCGCCGCCCGTCAGACCCTTCCCCGGACTCCTCCGCGAGATCCAGCAGCGCGCGCACCGTCCCCTGCTTGTGCAGCGACGGCACCTGCGCCGCGCCGCCGCGCGCGACCAGCGCCGTGATCGCCGCCGCGGTATTGCTGCGAATCGACGGATTGTGCGACCGGCACAGCACGGTAGATAGGCTCGTCAGCGCGCCCGACACGAGGAATCGATTCGCGATGCTCTTATTGCTCAGCGACAGATTAAGCATCGTCAGAACCGCATGCTCCGTCGCGGCCTCGTCCGCGCCGGGATTCAGCATCTGCAGCAGCGCGATCAGCCCCCCCGCGTCGCAGAGGAATTGTATTCCGCGCTCCGAGCATTTGCTCAGGTCTCTAAAGCCCTCTGCGGCTTCGCGCACCTCCCCCACGTCTTTGCTCTTCGCCTTGCGGATCAGCGCGGGGAGCTCCTCTAGAAGCTCCGCCTCTCTCTCCGCGTCCTCCCCCGCTTCCCGCCCCAACTCGTGCCCTTTCCCGCCGCCCCCTCCGCCTCCGCCCGCCTGTCCGCCCAAGGCCTTTCCGCCTGCCCGCGCAGCTTTCCCCTTTCCTTCGGTCGCGAGCGCCCCCCAATCCGGTTCGTCTTCGAGGCTGAAGCTTCCGCGCCCGCCCCCGCCACCCTGCGCGATGCCCGGGCCTTCCCCCGCGTCGCACTCCCTGTGCTTGCGCGCGAACGTGCGCGCGAAGCGGACAGGTGGGCTGCGGGGACGGGCGAGGGATGGAAAGATGGGTGGGGCGGGGAAGGGCGGGGAAAGGGGGAGAGGGGCAGATAACCAGGGTACGTATGCACGCACGTACGTACGTACGTTCGTTCGTTCCTTCGTTCGGTATGCGAATGTGCACGCGGACAATGGGCAATGGGCATACGTGCGTGCGTGCGTTCGTGCGAGCGTGCGCGCGTGCGACGTGCGTGCGACTTACGATGAGGATGCTGCGTTGGCCTTGGTTTCCGCCTCATGCGCGCGCACCTGAAGAGGGAGCGAGAGGTAGTGCGGAGACAGAGACAGCGAGAGGGGGAGGGAGAGAGGGGGGTGAAGGGAGGGACAGGGAGGGACAGGGAGGCAAAAAGGGATCTGGCAGCGAGACTTGGGAGAAAATAAAGGAGCCTTAGTAGCAAAAAATGAGAAATATAATATAAAGCGGCTACCAAACAAAAAGCGACGACAGGTGCGGGGTGGGTGGGGCTGCTGTGTCGACGTTACGACACATGAGAGGTGTTCCCTACACCCACCACCTCTTCTATCTGCTTCCGCATGGCGCGCGCGGCTTTGCCCTCCGCGGGGGACGCCTCGACGCGCGGAGGCGCTTGGCCGGTGCGCGACTTGAGAAAAGCATGCAGCTTGCCACTGTACGTGTGCGTTAAAACGGGCCCAGTCCCGGCGCCGCCGCCACCGCCGCCGCCGCCGCCGCCGTCAGCGGGGCCCTGCGCTGGGCGCATGTTGGGCGCAGCGACGAAGCGCAGCAGTCTATAGCACGTCAAGTTAAGTCTGACCTAGAGTTCGCTGAGTCGCGTGTCGAAGGGAAGCTAATGGTGTTAAAGGAATCTAAAGGAATTCGTCAGCAGCAGGCGAATAAGTTGGTCCGATCCGAACTTGAATGGTTGCGGGATTTGGAGCGCAAGGGGAGCATAAACACGCGAAGACAGCTGGTGCCACCACCACAGTTATCTGAGCACTTCTCTTGCGCACACGCTGGCACGCAAAACTGTCGGAATGATGTGTGCAGTGTGCGGTGATGGAAGAAAATAATATCCGAGGCAGTTAGTATGTGCCGTTTAGACGAGTTACAAGGCAAGACAAGCAGCGAACTCTGGATGGGAAAAGACACCGAGACACAGAGCGGGAGACAGCAGAAGTGCATTGAGTGTGGAGCAGGCTGATAAATTACAGCATCAGGCCAATTCAATACAAAATTTTGCACGATCTGGTGCATGTAGATATCGAGTGCAGAGTGAGCAGGTTTGTTGGACCATAAAACGCTTGACGCGAAGCTCGCCGTAACTGACGCAGGAGACGATGGTTATAGCGGGTACACTGAGGAGGATGTGTGTGTTTTCAGTTAGTGCCCACATGAAAAAAAAAATCTGTTTCTAGAACACAGAACAGTAAAACATAGGCCATATCTCCATCTATTTTAACATAGTTTGCAACAGGTTGTGAGGTTTTCTACAGTTTACGATTTTTGGGTTCCAGCCCAGCATTCTAATCCGTCACGAGATTCTCCCCCATTACCTCAACAGAAACACAGGCGTCGCACATTTCGGCCTTTGCTCCAGTGGTGCCGCTTGTCGTCATGCCAACAGAACAAGAGTGGTCGAACAAAACGGGGCAGGAAAAATCAGTGGAGTTAAGGTTTAAACTTTTTTTCCATTCCTTCTCTCACCACCCGTACAGTGCATATTGTATTCAATTCCTTCCAAAGGTCAACAGCACCTGGCCTTGGTGCAAGCACACCGCTACAGCACCGCCTTCTAGTGCATGAATGCACGACGCGCGCCGCATACATATTTGTAAGGGGGAGTGGAGAGGGGAAGCTGGCGTGGCGTTGTTCAACAATTGAGGAAGGGAGGGGGGAAAGCTGGCGCCTGCGCGGCGGAAGTCATGTAATACTCGTTATTATCAGCCTCCTGCCAGAAGCTTCCATTCAGGATCTATAGATATCAACCAGCTTATAAATTAACAAGGAATCCCCAGTAGCGAGTTGAAACCGAAGGCCAAGTGCACCACAACTCAGCTGCCGTGCAATATCCTTTCCACAACTGGCAATCGTCCCGCTTCCCCGCCTCCTTTTCCTCCCTCCGCCTCCCCTGCTTCTCCCCTGCTCCTCCCCCGCGCCTCCCCGCGACCCGATGATATGCCTCGCTTATCCCGCTCGTCTCTATGCCACTCCTCAATCGTCCGTCGGTCCACCCCCCGTTAGTGTCACGAATGCACACTACCGCGCGGCCCGGTTGGTTCAGCGGTCACCTTTCTCCTCCCCGCGTTCGCGTGGAACAGCACCGTTGCTAACCGCATCGCACGTCTATCGAGGCATCCCTGTCTCGCAGCCGCTGATACGCGTTATAAGCAAACCGCGCCACCGGTTCAGCAGGTGCGCAATTCCCGCCGCGATTGCCGGCGAAATGGCTCCCGACGGGAGCGCCTCTGGCGGCAGTGCGGGAACAATGGCGGCCCCCGCAATTGACGTCGAAGCGTCGGAGGCGCGGATGCGAGGTGGTGTAAATCCCGAAAAAAGCCGAGATGCGGACACCGGCAGAACAGATCCTAATAGCAAAGAGGGGAACAGGAGCATTGAGACGGGCAGGAGGGTCGAGACGAGCGGGAAGAGCGGCGGCGGCGGCGGCGGGGGCAGTTGGGAGGAGCCTCGGAGCCGCATGTGGGAGTGGCGGGAGAACTGGATGGTTCACTACGAGGTTGCTGGGGATGAATCCGACAGGTGATTTCGCTTGCCTCCTCGCCTCCTCGCCTCCTCGCCTCCTCGCCTCCTCGCCTCCTCGCCTCCTCGCCTCCTTGCCTCCTCGCCTCCTTGCCGCCTCCCTGCCTTGCCACGTTGCAGCAATGCGGCTTGAAATTTCCTGTGGTGTGGTGCATGTAATGTGCTCTCCCCTCTCCTGCATGCATGTGCTCTCCCCTCTCCTGCATGCATGTGCTCTCCCCTCTCCTGCATGCATGTGCTCTCCCCTCTCCTGCATGCATGTAGTCTCCGCTTCCGGTGCCCTTTCCACTTGTCCCTCTTGTCGCTTCTTCATCCTGCTACGGCTCCTACTCCTTCTTCTGCTCCCTCGCCAATTCTGACGTCTCAAAAGTCTCTGAAGCTGGACGATTGTTAAGTTCCCTCCCTCTTCTTCCCTCCACCCCCTCCCGGCTCCATCCCTTTTCCCCCACCTCTCCCACTTTTTCCTCCTCCCCCGCCCTCCCCGCAGTGCTGCTGCTGCAGCCCGGGTTCGGTGTGGGGTCCTTCCATTTCGAGCAGCACCCTCCCGTACGTTCCTCTCTTCCCTCTCTCCCCACTCCAACCCGTTTCCTCCCCTCTTCCCCTCCCGAGCATCCAGGTCTCTCCCCGCGGTGCTGCTGCTGCCAGGGTTCGGCGTGGGGTCCTTCCACTTCCAGGAGCAGCTGCGCGGACTGGCGGCAGGCACAGCAGCAGCGCCAGGCGCAGCAGCAGGCGCAACAGCAGGAGCAGGAGGAGAATCAGCAGGAGAATCAGCAAGAGGAGAGGGAGCAGAGGCGCAGCAGCGGTATCGGGTGTGGGCGATGGATTTCTTTGGGCAGGGCAAGTCATGGCCTGCCAAGGACCCCGCCCCCTTCCCTGCTGCTGCTTCAGCCCGTCTTGGTGCTTCTGCTTCTGCTGCAGCAGAGGAAGAGGAGGCGTTGCTGCGAGGGGCAGAGGAGGGGAGAGGGGGGCAAAGGGAGTCAACAGAGTCAAGCAAGTCAACAACGGCGGCTGTAGCGGACTGGGGGTTCGGGCCCAGGCCGGAGCCATGGGCGCGGGATTTGGTGTATGGGTCGGACATGTGGTGCGAGCAGGTTGCAGCCTTCATCTCCCAGGTGAGTAGGCGCCACCAACCTGGTCGTGCCTCAACTTTTGAGAACATGCTCTTTTTGAGAATTCTCAAAGAACAGCAGGTTGCAGCAGCCTTCATCTCCCAGGTGAGTAGGCGCCAACTTGCGGTTGAGAGCATGGGAATGTGCGGGCGTCCATGCGTGTTTATGCCTGCCTGCCTGCCAATGCGTGCCTGCCTGTGCATGCCTGCCTGTGCGTGCTTGCCTGTGCTCTCATGTACACCTGCGGCCTGCCATACACCTGCCTGCCTGTGCAACCTACCGTCCTGCACCGTACCCCACCCCACCGCACCCAACCAGGTCATCCAGGAGCCGGTGTTCATAGCAGGCAACTCCCTGGGCGGCTACATAGGCGCGTATCTCGCCGCCTCGCACCCGCACCTGTGCCGCGGGCTCATCCTGCTCAACGCCACGCCCTTCTGGGCCTTTGCTCCCAACCCCCATGCTCCCGCGCGCTCTCTGCTTGCGCGCCTCTACCCCTTCTCCTGGCGCGGCACGCTTCCTGTTCCGACACTCCCGCGGCTCGTAGCACGGCGATGGTGAGTGTGCTGCTGCTGCTGCTGCTGCTGCTGCTGCTGCTGCTGCTGCTGCTGCTGCTGCTGCTGCTGCTGCTGCTGCTGCTGCTGCTGCTGCTGTGAGAGAAGGAGTTAGGAATGAAGTTGATAACTTGATTGAGAATCATGGGGGTATACATAGTAATGGGGTTGGAGCTAACCTAAGGTGACATTATTGGACCCCAACCAAGAAGTTGGGTTGGGAGATTATTGGTGGGGTCCAATAATGTTGGCCAAGTTGGGGTTGGGCCAATAATTCTACCCAACCCAACCTTTTGGGGTCCAATAATTGGACCAAGGTTGGGTTCCAACCTACAAACTGGGTTACCCCTGTTTGTACACCCAAACTAAGTCTGGGTGGTTAACTCTAGCCTGTCCTATAGCATATATGCAGGTTACAAGAGGAGAGGGATTCTAACAGCTGCTGCTGCTGCTGCTGCTGCTGCTGCTGCTGCTGCTGCTGCTGCTGCTGCTGCTGCTGCTGCTGCTGCTGCTGCTGCTGCTGCTGCTGCTGCTGCTGCTGCTGCTGCTGCTGCTGCTGCTGCTGCTGCCTCTCCTCCTGTTCTCTCTCGCCGTGTTCCAGAATGTGCCTGACCCAAAGGTCGGTCTCGAGAGGCACACAACCAAGGTTAGAAGGTACGGTCGTATTTTTGAATCTTCTCTTCAATTTCTCACACGAGCCTATCACACAATACCGTGTTTTACGGTAACTTTCCAAAAAAACGACCGTATTTTTTGTAACCTTGCACACTACACATGCTCCATTGCAACCTGCCGGTACAACGCACTGCACTCACCCCTCCTCTCCCCCTCCGCTCTCCCCTCCTCTCCTCGTCCCCCCCACTTCACGGACTCCACTCCACCCCCCAATGACACAGGTGGGACAGTCTACGCCATCCCACCACGCTGCGCTCGCTGCTCACTCTCGTCTACACCGATGCAGCACGGCTCACCCCCGCGCTCATAGACTGCATAGCCCAGCCCACGCAGCACCCCGCCTCTGCTGCTGCCTTCGCGTCCATCCTCTTTGCGCCCAAGGCGCGCCTCTCCTTCGACGAGAATCTCACCACGTGAGTTTCAAGAGAACGCCCCACCTCAAATGTCAGGTATGCTGTTTAAGGCTCTACTCTACTCTCTTCGCACCCCAAGGCCTGCCTCTCAACAGGTTTGCTGCCTGTGCGTCCAGTCAGTCAGTCAGTCAGTCAGTCAGTCAGTCAGTCAGTCAGTCAGTCAGTCAGTCAGTCTGTCTGTCTGTCTGTCTGTCTGTCTGTCTGTCTGTCTGTCTGTCTGTCTGTCTGTCTGTCTGTCTGTCTGTCTGTCTGTCTGTCTGTCTGTCTGTCTGTCTGTCTGTCTGTCTGTCTGTATGTCTGTATGTCTGTCTGTCTGTCTGTCTGTCTGTCTGTCTGTCTGTCTGTCCTGCTGCCTTCGCCTCCATCCTCTTTGCGCCCAAGACGCGCCTCTCCTTCACACGCGAACATCCGGGCCCATTGTGTCTGGCGTTCTGACTAAAAGACTTTTGCTTACGGCTTCCCTCATTTTTCCAGATTAGTACCGGTAGACTTAGTTGTATAGATCGTTCTTTATCTCTTAGAAGGCTTGCAGCGTATCGAAACCAGCTAATTTCAACTGTGACGTCTCTGCAACTTGCCGCTTTGGCCGCCAGTGTGTTTGACTGCTGGTCTGGTTTCGTAATCATAGCGGGTGAGTTCTCGGGCGCTAGTTTTACGAGTGGCCCCTCTGCAGGTTGCTGCCTGTGTGGCCGTCCATCCACTCCGCTCGCTGCCTTGGCCTCTAGTCTTGGTCGCTTGCTGCCTTAGTCTCTTCAAACCCAAGTCTCTAGTCACCCAAGGCCTTGGGTGACAGCCCTTGGGCTTGATTCACCCAAGGCCTTTGATAAGGATCGTAGCGGGCTAAGATTTTGATGAGAAGCCATAGCTGGTGAGCCTCTCGTGCTCGCTCCCAGCATCATCTCTCTCTCTCTCTCGCGGGCTGCCACTGTGCAGTGCTGTGCTGTGCTGTGCAGTGCTGTGCTGTGCTGTGCTGTGCAGTGCAGTGCTGTGCAGTGCAGTGCTGTGCTGTGCAGTGCTGTGCTGTGCAGTGCTGTGCAGTGCAGTGCTGTGCCGTATTCATTCCCCGGGGACATCCCCGGTGGGCCCCATGTACACCTCCAAGTTCCCAGGAGTCTCCATCACCATGTTGACTTGTTTGCCTCTCAGTCTCTAAACATGTCAACTAAACAGTCTCTCCTCTGCTCTACCTTTGCTCTCGCCTCGCCCTTCCCCATCACAGCATAACCTCTCGCGCCCTGCCGGTGTGCATCATCCACGGCCGGGACGACCCGTGGGTGGGGCCCATGTGCGATGTTGAGTCAACTAACTAGCCTCTCTTCCCCTCTCCCCCCTCGCCCCTCCCCTTCACAGCATAACCTCTCGCGCCCTGCCAGTGTGCATCATCCATGGCCGGGACGAACCCTGGGTGGGGCCCATGCTGACTGTTGAGACAACTAAACCGTCTCTCTTCCCCTCTCCCCCCTCGCCCCTCTCCTTCACAGCATCACCTCTCGCGCCCTGCCAGTGTGCATTATTCTCAGCCGGGACGACCCCTGGGTGGGGCCCATTCTGACTGTCGAGTCGACTAAACAGCCTCTCCTCTCTCCCTTCTCCTCTCTCGCCCCTCGCCCCTCACTATTGCAGCATAACCTCTCGCGCCCTGCCGGTGTGCATTATCCACGGCCGGGACGACCCCTGGGTGGGGCCCATGTGGGCGGCCAGAGCAGCCAGAGCTCTCCCACATGCCGCCTTCTTTGAACTCTCCCCTGCCGGCCACTGCCCCCACCACGAGAGACCACAGGTGAGTGCGTGAGTGCGTGCGTGCGTGCGTGCGTGCGTGCGTGCGTGCGTGCGTGCGTGCGTGAGTGCATGCGTGCATGTGTGCCTGTGTGTGTGTGCGTGTTGGTGCCCACATGCGGCCTTCTTTTAACTCTACCCTGCCGGCCACTGCCCCCACCACGAGAGACCACAGCTGAGTGTGTGTGCGCACATGTCTGTGCTTTCCTGTCAGACCCAATATCTGCAGCAGCACCACGTTTCCTTTCCTCACGCATGCTTACCCCCTCACCCCTGAATCGTAGTGTGGATTCTCCACGTTCCTTCCTGTGTGACCCTCTACTTTCCCCCATCCCGCATGACTTGACTTTTGAGTCCACTCAAAAGTCTTCGCCACGTTCCTTCCTGTGCGTCCCTCTACTTTCCCCCATCCCGCATGCCCCTACTTTCGAGTCCCTTCTGTCCTCTGCTCATCCTGCTGCATCAGCCTGTTTTTTGAGAACTCCAAAAAGAAAAGATATTCCAGCCTCTGCACGTCCCTTCTCCCTCACCCATCTCCTTTTCCCCGCATTTCTCCTGGCTCTCCCTGTCGGTCTCAATTGCCCCCATCTCTCCGTCCTCCCATCTCTCTCTGCTCCTCCCATCTCTTTCTCTCTCTCCTCCCTAGGTGGTTAACTACCTCATCTCCTCCTGGGTCTCACACGTTCACTCCAACTTCTCCAACCCCCTGCCCCTCTCTCCTGTGCCGCACTCCACACACTCCCTCTCCGACTCCCCCTCTCCCCCTTCACTTGCTTCCTCCTCCTCATCCCCCCCCTCGCAACCCTCCGCTGATCGTCCCTGGTCGTTCCCTTCCCTATTGGGGGAGGGGGAGTGGGAGGAGGGTGTGTGGATAGACGGAGTGGGATTACACACCTCATCAGCAGAGAAGCAAGGCAATGTGACTGTAAAGAGCGCAGGAGGTTCGAAGCGTGTGGGTGCAGGATCGGAACATCCGTCTAGGATTCAGGTGAGGAGGCATATGAAGCCGCCACCCCACCCGATTCACCTGGTGGATGCTGCAGTGGAGACAGTGTCGGCTACTTGGAGACGAATTGCTGGGAAGGGTGATGGCGGTAGAGATCGCGGGATGAAAAAGTGCAAGTGATGCGCGCGGGTGGCGGTCGGAGTGGCAAGGAGAGGGAGAAGCTGGTGTGGGGGGAGGGGCTTATGCTATTTATTGACGCGATACTGAGAATAAGACAGCAGCACATACTGACGGCCATAAGAAATTGAGTGTGTGTTACTGCCAGTAAGATATGTACAAGGCGCAGTTTACTGAATTTGGCGAAGTCTTTTTTACCACAAGCGTTATTGCTAACTCAGCATACTCGAAATTGTAGCGAGTATAATTCTCGAAACTCCCCTCTCTGCTTCGTAAGTGAAGTACTTGCACCTGCCTGCCGCGAAAGGAGTCATTGTTGTGTGGTTCTTGTTGTGACCATCACGCGTCAATTTCGCTCGCCTGCGCTGATCACGGTTGCCATTGGTATTTGCGTGTCTCGATTCCCTGAGCCATCCTCGTGTCGTATTCTTACCACCGTTCGACACCGTTTGAAACCGTTTGACACCGTTCGACACCGTTTGACACCTCCGTTCGTCCTGTACCAGTACTTATCCTTCAGCACGTCGTAACCAGGTCCTTGCGCCAGTCGGAGCACAGCACATCGCAGTGCGAGGCGCTTCGAAACCATGGCGCGGAATTCACTCGCGACGGTCTTCGTAGGTAATCCTCGCGCGTCTTTCCAGCTAAACGTATTCGCGGTTCTCGCACCGCGCTTGTTTACCAGCCCACTTTGAAGTTACGGGAACTAGGCGTGACTGGCCACTGGTCACACATGATATGACATTCAACGAGACGGCGCGTTTCTGTGAACCGATTGTTTTAGTCAACGAGACGGCGTGTGTCTGTAAACCGACTGGCTCATCTTAGCTCACTTTCACCCTGAATTTCCATCCTCTCCCCCCAATCTCCTTCCCATCCCCTTTCCCGTTCCCCCACCAACAACCCCCGTTCATTCCCCTCCACTTCGCCGCACTCGCTTCCTTCCCCCTACCGACTCCCTCCCACCCTTTCTCCTCAGGAAATCTCGACCAGCAAGTGGAAGATCGGATCTTATACGATTTGATGCAGCAGGCGGGCCCTCTGGTGGATCTACACGTTCCACGGGATAAGGCGTCAGGTCAGCACCGAGGGTACGGATTCGCGGAATATGAGACGGAGGAGAGCGCGCAGTACGCCGTGAAGCTCTTTTCAGGGCTCGTCAGGCTCTTTAATCGCCAGCTGAGGTTCCAGGTATGGAATTGTCAAGTGGTGGAGGAGTGTTTGGGAATCGTGTGCGGGTGGTTGGTTGGTTGGAGTCAGGTAGAGCTAGTGGAGTGAGATGGGGTGAGGTGGGATGTGGTGGGGTAGAGTGTTGGTGGGTGGATGGGGTGAGGTGGGGTGAGGTGGAGTGTGGTGGGAGTGAAGTGGAGTCCCTGTCAGGCTGTTGCCGTATTTACTGGTAGGTGGTGAAGGTAAAGTTTAAATGGTTCTGACTTGATTAGCTTATAAGTGCTTGAATGCTGGGGGTAACGGAGGTGAGGTGTGAACTGCAGTGTCATCTGAGCTGTTGGAATGGGTTTCCTATTCAGGGTATGATTCTCTTTCCTGTTGAGTTGTTTCTGTTTGTTCAGGTGTGAGCTTGTTCTGGGAGGGATTTAGTACGTATGTATGTTGTGGAAACAAAGCTGAATAAGGATATCTGCTGCTGGGCCACCGTGATGCCTTGTTGCACTACGGGTCTGGATTTACTCAAAGCATTCTTAGTTTTTCCATCCCTTTTTTATCTTCAGATATCCAACTCCGGAGCAAAACCTGCAGCAGCAACAGAAGATCCTGCTGCCACAGGCAATGGCACGGTTGCCACCACTGGTGCCGCCCCACTTTCTTCCGCACTTTCTTCATACGACCAGCAGCAACAGGACCTTCTGAGATGGCAGCTCCAGCAGCAGCAAGCAGCATTACTCCTCCAGCAGAGTCGTGGTGTCATGCCTATGAATGCATCTTGGTCTCAGAACCAGTTGCAGGCTCATGCTCAGGCAGCCTCTATGCTCTACTATCTCCAAGCTGCTGGTCGACGTTAGGGTTAGTGAGATAGCAACATTCAATTGTACCCTTCCATTTAAAACTACGCAAGAGCAGTGTATAAGATTGTGTGCAAATAGTGTATCAGTCATTGCTTTTTGCGGAATCATATCTTTATCGGAGAAGTTCGCACTGGCCGTGTAGTCCAGCTTTCCCGCCATCTGACGAGATTCAACGCAAACACATTTCATCCGAGCCTGGAGCAAAAGTCTCTGCGTCGGTCTTCTGTCCCGGAGTAGGTCCGGTTTGGCCCTCCCGAGGTCACGGAGCCTCTAAGACGCCGCCATGCGTCTTGCCCTCACAACCCAATGAACGTGAACCAATCAGCCTATCAAAAGCCTCGAGACAGCTTCCGAGCCAGCAGGTTCGCCAGTTGTTCCTAGTTACCTTGCCCAAACCACTCCCTTTCCTCTCCCCAGCCCTCTTCTCTTCTCACTTCTCTCCTCCCCTCTCCACTAGACATTTCCCTAAAGACTCTCTTCTTCCGATCTCTTGTTCAACCACCTATTGGTGCCTCTCCTGAATCTAAGGATCTTTGCCAGAGCCCTTGAGTGCGTAGCATAGGCGATAGTTTTCACCCCCAGTCAGAGGGTTTGGAACTTCGGATCGTGTTTTAGCCACCTTGATTTTCGCCGCGAATCAATCGACTGGTCCGTGCACGCGAAGGCGGATAGCTGCGCAGAGTCTTAGCCTGCCTTCTCTTGCCTGTTGGCGTTTAAGAGCCGCTACACCACCATGTTAGGGGAGATCCTTACCGTTCAGCCTCTGGAGCTGAAGTTCACATGTAAGAATCTGAACTGTCAGTCAGCGACCATGTTTTTTTTTTCATGTTGTTTAGCAGCGAGCCTGGTGTTTCCTTAGATACTGAATGGCTTCCGCGTTTGTTCGCTGATTACCGGTTGCCACTTGCTGAGCTTCGCTGCCTGAAAGCTATTTTTAAATAATAAGCGTGACGTTCAACTGTCTCGAACCTTTGATGCCTGGTCCCGTGTGCAATCCGCAGTTGAGCTGAAGAAGCAGGTGTCGACTTCCTTGCGGCTAGTCAATGTCACTTCTGAATATGTCGCCTTCAAGGTTTCTGAGTTTCTCTTTTCTACTGCTTTTTCTTTGTATTCTGTTGCCAGATCCTTTTTTATTGTACTCGTAGTTGTTATAATCATGTCATCGTCTTCACTCATCTGCTTATGTTCTCGTCTCCTTTATAGCAGCGCCTGCCTTTCAGTATTTATTCTTCTTCGTTTTCGTTTCTCTAACGGCTCGCTCACTTTCGTAGGTGCTTTTGTTTTTTTCGTTCTTTCCTCCATTAAGGTTAAGACAACGTCACCGAAGAAGTACTGTGTGAGGCCCAACACGGGCCTAATTCCACCTCAGAGTAGCGCGGAGGTTGTGGGTGAGCGATCCTACTCGCGCTCTTTAGTGCCTCTTTCCGCCTTCCTGATTTCTCCTTGTTAATCCGTCCTTGCTCGTTCTCAGACATACATATATCCCTTGGTTTCTTGCCTTCTGTCTCTGTTTTTGGCTTCGGATTATGGGATGTGCTCCCACGGCGTGTCCGTGCGACCGCAAGCATGATCGCGTGTAGTCGCAAAGTGGCTGTAATCAGCACTGACCGTAACCATATCTCTTGAATCACCCTCTGGCAGTGACCATGCAAGCGCAGAAGGAGATGCCAGCGGATATGCAGTGCAAGGACAAGTTTCTCGTGCAGAGCGTACTCGTGCCGGGCGGAGCTCCCAAGGAAGCCAGCGCCGATTTCGTAAGTCACACCTTTTTTTATCGGGTTGGAAAGCTGCAGGTCTATGTTATGTCGTGGTGATTATGTGGTATGGTAGTCAAGTTAGAATGTTGTGCAGGGCTTGTGGACGTGAGGCAGAAATTCCCTTTAGGTCTAAGAGTGATGAGGGGGCGGTTGTCGGAATTTTTCTATCGTCACAAATTCCGACTCGACCCATGGTCCGCTGTTGCTGGCTCGCTGCTGAATCAATGTGCAGGTTTCTCAGCTGTGGAAGTGTGCCGTTTTATTCCACGAAGCGTTTTTTAACAGCCAGGCGAGCCGAAGTGCCTTCTGTGCCGCCTCCTTTCGACTCTATTTCCACGCTGCTTTTTAACGAATATTCATTTTCTCCGTCGACCTGTGTCAAAGAATCTGCGCGTGATCGAGTTTGCTCCTACGTAACCGCCCTGCCGTCCGCCGCCATTCTGTTCCGAGCATGAATTACCTCCTGCGTGTGTTCTTCCCCCACCCTCAGTTGTATACTTGCCCCTCGCGTCGATTCATTTTCCCCCCCACGCGCCAGTTCAACAAGGAGAACGGGCGCGAGGTGAAGCTGCGCGTTCTGTACATCCTTCACCCTCAGCTTCCCTGCCTTCCGCCGCCTTATTACACCCCCTTCATGTGTTTTCCTCCCCACGCCCACTCGATTTTGCGTCCGCCTGGCAGTTCAACAAGGAGAACGGGCGCGAGGTGCACGAGGTGAAGCTGCGCGTGCTGTACGTCGCGCCCCCGCAGCCGCCGTCGCCTGTGGCGGAAACCGCGGAGGAAGGCGGAACGCCCAGCTCGTTCCCCCCCACGGCCAAGGCGGTCGCTCCCACTGACCCGGTGAGCTGCGGAAGAACGGCCGTGTCTAGTCTGAACTAAAATAATCGTTCCCGCGCACGGGCCCACGGCCAAGGCGCTCTCTCCCGCTGACCTGTGCGGGTTTGTTTTGAGGCGACTCAAAGGTTCTCCCATTGACCTGGTGAGCTGCGGGATGCTGCTTGGCGCCCGCTGCGGGCTGCGCTGTCTGGATGCGGGCTCAGCCATGCATTCTTCCCAGTCTGAATGCGCGCTCGCGAGTTCCCGCGCGACCTGGAATCGCGCGTCCTCACTCCTGCTCTTGAACTCATTTTCGCGTAGTACGCGAAATCGAGTGCGTAGTGGCAAACATGGTATATATTTTTCCTCCCCCTGTTTTTTGTGATAGACATTGCATGCAAGCTGTGCAGCGATGTGGAGGAGGAGAAGTCTTGCGTTGTTTGTGCACAAAAACATGGATGTGTTGTTTGGTCTGATTGGGTCGATGGCGAGTCATGGTTTGTCCTCAACGGTCCTGATTACAGGTCGAGGGGTGTACTCTTGCTGGTGACTCATAGTTGTGAACTTCTGGTCTGTCTATGCGCGTGTGCAATGTGTGCATGTGTGCGTGCGTGCATGTGTGCATGCATGTGTGCATGCGTGCGTGCGTGCGTGCGTGCGTGCGTGCGTGCGTGCGTGCGTGCGTGCGTGCGTGCGTGCGTGCATGCGTGCATGTGTGCATGTATGCATCTGTACGTGAATGCATGCATCTGCGCATGTGTACCATGTGCGTCTGGGATGATGGCCGTGATGATGCTCTGGTTCCATGGCTAAACGCGCTCAGGGTTCCAAGGACGTCACGGAGCTCAAGGCTAAACTCACTGAGGTGTGTAGAAGGGAGGCTAATGGCCAGGGGAGAAGGAGCAGAACGAGGGGGGTTGAGTGACAAGGGGAGGTGAGGGAGCGGGGCAAGGGATTTGAGGACATGGGGGGAATGGTGACTGCGAAGCATGGTATTTGAAGGGGAGGGACAGAGGAAAGGGAGGGGGGTCGGTTTTGTGTATCGAGATAGGGAAGCCAGGGCAGTGATACTAGCAGGAAATTCCAAGAGGGCAGCAAAAAGGAACCAGGGCTTTTGGGGGGGAAGGTTTTGATGCGCCTGGGCGGCGGAAAGGGAAGGTGAGTTGGGCTGCTTTTTTAAAACTCAAATGCCACTTTTACAAGGAGAAAACAGTGAAGGGGAGTCAGAGCAGAGAATCAGGGTAACCGAACGTATGAGGGAAGCGAGGGATGTGACAAAGCAAAGGTGCGATAAAGGAGAAGAGCAATGGTAGGCAGGCTGTATGGGGGAGATGCCAGGAAGGGAAACGTGCTTGCGAGTCAACAGGTAGCATGGAGCACACATTCTTTTAGGCAGTGAGCTTTTGGAGAACATTGCAGTACAGAAAGAGGGTCCCATGTATTGTTACGCATTGCTGGTTACACCGATGAGTCGCCGATGTCACTCTTTGCAGTGTGCACGTCTTCCCTGTTCTCTCCCTGGTGCATGTCAACAGGCGAAAGCAGCGCTGACAAAGATGACGGACGATAGAAATGCAGCAGTGAGAGAACTGCAACGACTCAAGGTAAACCTCCCCACATCCGCCATTCTTCATCTGTCATCCCCAATCATCCGCCACCCACACGCACTGCCCACTGCCTATCCATGCCCCAAACCACCAGCATGCACCCCTCGTTCCCCATTCTACCCAGCCACATCTCCATCCTTCCTGGCATGTCCCCTGGCATCACTCCTCCCTTCAATCCTTACAGGAGCAAGCGAGCAAGGCAGGGAGCAAGGCACCAGTGCAACGGCCAAAGGGATGGTCCTTCACAGCGCTACTGCTGGCGGCACTGATCTTCTTCATTGTGGGGTTCCTGGGGGGCAAAGGCTATCTCACCTCCTCTCCTGCTGCTGCTTCCTCCACTGAGCTTTAAGACTGAGTTTGAGCGTTAGTGTCACAAGGCTCGATATGTCTGCCGTCCATCCGTCTCTCCTCGGTAGTTCCTTTTAGTGGCGATTTTAGCTGACCCCCCTTTCGTGCCTAAGCGGCACATGCGAAGGCTTGCTGCTACACATGCATGCTGATGCACTATCCAACAGCACTCACTCTGTGCTGTGTGCCTGCCACTTCATTTTCACTTCCTCTCATTTTGAAGGTGTCTAGGACTCTGCAGTACAGAATGTATGCTTTCCCTTGTATGGTTTGAAAAACGGCTGTCTTCATTTCTTTTGATAACATAAATGCTTTGTAGTTCTTGATCACTAATTCTGGACAAGAAGGTTTATCCTCGCCCGAAACCGCTTCCGGTTGGATTATGGTCAGTGGTTGACCATAATTAATAATGGTCCTGGAGGAAAATAGCGATTACATCTACAACATAAAGCTCCCAATATAAAAGTTTTCAGAATCAGCACTGGTGGTGTTATGAGTTGTGAAAGGAAAGAGTGCGCAGAATTCAATAACGCGGAATTGATTACAACTACTGAGCAAGCAACGAGGCCTAGGCATAATATAGCAAAGCTAGCTAGGCCGAGGTCGCGGAGTCGCGCGAAGGTTGGGTGCAGGTTTGGGGTTGGGAAACCCGAAGGCGACGCGGGGGACGTTTGGAAGGCGAGGTCGACGGACCGAGCCTGAAGTCCGGAAGTTGGAATTGTACACGTAGAGGCTGCCTCAGTAAGGAATTAGCAAAATTCCTTACACTACCCCCCCCCCCCCCTCCCCCCCTTAAGAAAGGTGGTCAATATCAGGCACGCGTCGGCGGGAAAGATAATCCCGAAGTACCGAGTGGCCTTGCAGTGAGTCAGCCGGGACCCACGTGTCATCTTCACTTGTGCGATCCACCCAGCGTAGGAGTAAGTCGACGTGGCGTCTAGTCGGGGTCGCACGAATGCGGTGATTCAGAATTTTCCAGGGTTGAAGTGTCGGATCTGCCACAGGTCAGACACTTGGCGCGATGTTGGGTCGAGCGACGTCGGACGGCTGCGGAGCCACGTAGTGGCGAAGCAGACTGACGTGGAAAGCATCGTGGATCTTCCAGTCGTCCGATAGGAGAAGCTTCGCCGTGACCGGGGTCCAGGGCTGATTTTATCAGGGTAATTACCCTGATTTCAGGGTGATTTCAGACTTGCCACATTCTGGTCCCTGTAATTTCAGGTTTATCATCTTATGAACACTGATCTTGTCAGAGTAGTACTTTAGCGAACCCTGGAATTTTGTATACACTCACAGAGTAGTGTTCTTAAAGCCCGTATGCAAAATAGTCACCCCCCCCTTCTAGTTGGGTCCACTTGATACACCGATTCAGAGGTTTTGTTTGTAGGGTGTAATGTGTTGCACTTTTTCTTTTTTTCCTGATACTGAACCATCTTTCCAATTCTGATCGAGGAAACTGGTCGCAGGGCTGGGCAAATGTGTCGCAAGCGGTGCCAATTTCACATTCGTGCCACATTCACATTCTCATTTCGACGTCGAGGAAATGATCAAACGCAGAGCCAAACACTTGCATTGGCAGCGCCCGAGCCTTCTGTAAAAAGCGAGAGCTGTAGGAATGGGTTCGGGGTGTGATGGGTGCAGAGGACATTTACAAGGAGAGTCAGGGAGTCGGAAGGGGAGAGTGAGAGGCTGACGGAAACAAAGACGCGAGGGGAGAGAATAAGGGGGCAAAAGTTACTGGTTGGGTGATGGGAGGGGCATTGGGGAGGGGACGGCACGAGGGCGACGGTACGGGACGGGAGGTGCGAGCGCGAAGGCGACGGGAGACGAGAGAACGTGAGCACGAGGGGGATGGGAGGGGAGACCATGGGTGCGAAGGTGATGGGAGGGCAGACCGTGAGCGCGAAGGCGATGCGAAGACGGGCAACGTGAGCGCGATGGCGAGGGGAGGGGAGAATGTGTGGTGCTTGGGAGAAGGGAGGGGAGTTTCTGAGCGCGAAGGTGATGGGAGGGGAGACCATGAGCGCGACGGTGATGCGATGGCGGGGGACGGTGAGAACGTGAGCGCGACGCCGATGGGAGGGGATGACGTGAGCGGAAAGGGAGAGAGGAAAGGCGACGGGAGGACGATTCGGAGTGATCGCGAGAGCGACGAGGCGGGTAATGGGAAGGGAGTTAGGAGGGCTGACGGGAGGGCGATGCGAGGCAAGCGCAAGGGCGACGAGGTGGGTGATAGGAATGGAGAGGAAGAAAGGCGATGTGAGGACGTTTCGGGGAGAGCGCGAAGGCGACGGGACAGGTGATGGGAGGGGAGGGAAGGAAGGACATGTTGAGGGCGTTTTAAAGCAAGAGCGTAGGCAACGAGGTGGGTGATGGGAGGGGGAAGAAGAAAGGCGACGGGGGGGCATTTCGGGGCGAGCGCGGAAGCCGACGAGGTGGGCGATGGGAGGGGAAATCGGGTTTAGGGACGAGAGGGCGTTTCGTGCGAGCGCGTGGCGATGGGGTGGGTGATGAGATCGCGAGGGCGACGTAACGGACAACGACGTGGGCGTTTCAGGCCGAGCACATAGGCGACGAGGTGAGTGACTGAAGGGGAGTGAGAAAGGGCGCCGTGAGGGCGTTTCGGGACCAGCGCGAGGGTGACGAGGTTGGTGATGGTAGGGGAGAGAAGGAGGGCGACAAGAGGGTTTTCCTGGGATGGGTGATAGTAGGTGGGGAGACGGGGGGAGTGACGAGATGGGAGGGCTATTCGAGGCGAGCGTGGTGGCGACGAGGTGGGTGATGGCAGGGGCGAGTGGAAGAGCGACGGGAGGTCGACTTGGCGAGAGCGGCACGGAAACGAGGAGGGTCATGGGAAAAGAGCGAGGAAGAACGGCGGGAGGGCTATACTAAGCGAGCGGATCGGAAATGGCGTTGGAAAGCGGTGCGATAAGTTGCGCGAAGCCTTGCAATGCGAGTAATACGATACTGAGTCGTTTCGGGTGTAAAAATGTTAGATAAAGGGGGGTTGTAGGTGGGGAGAGATAACGCGGCGAGGGAAAGGAAACATGGGCGACGAGGAGGTTGACGATTGCGCTTTTGGCGGGAAAAAAAGCACTGCGCTGCTAGGCCACGTATTACAAAATCACGTCGATAACAAACGTGGTCGTCGATAATTTAGTGCCTATGACACAAGCACCTGGTAAGCTTTCCGCTATACTATGAGTGGCAAAAAACTAGTAAGGCAAGGGAGTAGAAAATCAGGCAATTATGAACCCAGGACCAGCTTGATATTGAAGTTGGACCTTGCGATGGAACCCATCGCCAGGGCGATGGAAACCATCCCCAGGGAACGGTCGTGCAAGTGCAGGTCGCAGAAATGTGAGCGGGAAAGTCCATTCTGGCGGGAGCCACAACATCCCATCTTGGCTTAGAGCCAATCACATGAGCTCACTCTGCCCGCACGATTTGTTTCAAGCAGTGTTTTGTGAGACTTGTTTCACTCTCGCTTCTCTTCAAAAAACTATGTCGCAACACCTCTTTCAAGTTGGGATGGGGGTCACTATTTTGCATGCGGGCTTTAAGGACCCTGTCCATACAGAGTATGCGTCTTGTTGACCCTGAATGCAACGTTATCGGGACGAAGCTTCCAGGAACCTTCGTCTCGATAACCCCCATGTGCGTAATCATGATTACGCTTGCACCCATCTCAGGGACTCCATGAGCGCTATCCAGGTTATCGCAGTACACTACGTTTCTGTTAGAATGACTAAAAATTCAGTTTCTGATTTTTGCTGGCCGTAAACTTAAACCGAGAAACAAATCGCGATCTGACGGATCGCAAAGTGATTCGGCAGGAGATTAAAAAAAAACCATCCGTAGTGAAACACCGTATCGCCATGTGACTGATAATTTATAGTCATCAGCTGTTTTTCGTTAACTTTTGAGAAAAAAACATGTGTAAATTATAATAATTGTGAAACTAAACGAGACACTAATATTGAAAAACGTCTCCCCCCACCAAAACCAGGTCGAGTCTCGACACCCCTCCCATGAGCAGTCCGTTCCCCCATTTCCTCCCCCCCTTCTCCCCCTTTTGTGCGGACGACCCGCGGTCACGAAATAGCCCCCACCCACCCCCCTCACTTGCTCCCTCCCCCTTTGCACACCCCTCGCTCTCGCCCCTGCGCCCCTAGGAGATCCTCCCACGCCACATGCACTCCCTCCAGCCAATCCGCCAATCCAGCTAGATTTCTCGCGTCAAACACGTCACTGTTTTTCTCGCCAAACTAGAAAGAAGAAAAAAATCAACCCTGATTTCAATTCGCCAACCCTGACAGCCCAGACTTACGATTTCGTGAACCCTGAACATCGCAAGAAGGCTCAGGCTTGGCGTTTTGCGGAAAATGTGCCTTCAGGGTAGATCTCTTTTTGGGGGATTGAAAACAGGGTACCCATATTTGAATCGTCAGCCCTGCCGGGGTCAACATCCGAAGGATGCGGAATGGTCCCACGTAGCGGGGACGCAATTTTGCAGGCTGCGGCAGTCGGAGATTCTTCGTGTCCAGGTGAACCATCTGCCCGTCACGGAAGGGTACCGTAAGTTCCGTCGATGTCGGTCGGCGTAGCGGCTGGCGGCAGTATTAGCCTTTCGGATAAATTCCGCTGCCTTGTCGCGTGCTGCTTGAAGTTCCGAAACAAACTGTTGCGACCGTGGTACCGGATTTTCAGGAGTCGTTGAAGAGGGTACCACCGGATCTATCCCGTAATTGAGGTAAAACGGTGATTGATTGGTTGTCGCAGACGGGGCGTTGTTGTACGCAAATTCGAGCATGGGAAGCGAATCTTCCCACTTGGAGATATCGGGTTGGTCAGCTCAGTCTGCCCGTCGGTTTGCGGGTGGTATGACGACGAAAACTGTAGGCGGGTGCCGTACTGTGCCCATGTTTCCTGCCAGAACTTCGACGTGAATTTCGGGTCCCGATCGCTGATGATCGCCGAAGGTAACCCGTGTAGTCGCAC